AAACTAATTTTTCAATTGTTTAGGGTTTTTTTAAAATGAAGTTAAAAGTTGCGTTAAGATTGCTACAAAATTTATTTTTATTTAGCTTTTAAAAGTAGTTATGCACTATTTTTTAAATTAGAATTCTTCATAGCAAAGTAGACTTACATTTAACTTGTAGCATGGAATTAAAATGTTTTATTTTAAATCATTTTCTTGACACATGACTTGGCATCATAAATGCATGTGGCAAGTGGAGCGTACTTAAATAATTCCATGTGGACATTACCTCAAAATGTACATGGAATTAAAGAAGTTTGTTTCTTTTATTGTTCTTTAATAAATAAATATTTAAAATTATACTTTGAAATGTGCCATAGTGTGGACCGCCGCACAGTGGGAAATATTGGAAAAAATTCGAGCCATGCATCGAAACTAATTCTTTCCGAAATTACCTGTACTATAAAGTTCCAGTGAGATAATTGGAATATATGCCTAGAATTGTTTCAAAATGGCCGAGTAATTTCTAGCCTCAAACTCGATCCTACGAAGTTTGACATATTTGGTATCTAAAAATGAAAATAATGTACTAAAGGCTGCCAAACAAAAAAAAATCATAAACATTAAACATATTCCTAAATCATGAATCTAGACCCAAAACATAACCTCAAATATTGGTTGCACACTCAAAAGTACCATTTTTATGGATTTATACTAACATGTCTAGAAAAAATTGAGTACCTATGTTCATTTTAGGTTAAGATTTATAAATTTGAGGGTATATTTTGGGTTTAAATTCATGATTTAGGAATATGTTTAATGTTTATGATTTTTTTTGTTTGGCAGCCTTTAGTACATAATTTTCCTTTTTTTTTCATTTTTAGATACCGAATATGTCAAACTTCGTAGGATCGAGTTTGAGGCTAGAAATTACTCGGCCATTTTGAAAAAATTCTAATATTTCCCAATATTTCCCACTGTGCGCCGTTTGAATAATCAAAATTCATTTGGGTAATAACTACAATTTCTTGTTGGTGAATTTATTCAATATTTTGATAAAGACATGTTCGGATGACTGAGGTTATACTGTACATACTAAACTAATGCAAAAAATCAAAAGAATTTCTAAAATAATTCTGTGATTTTTGACAAACTGTATTTAGGTAAAAAATGGTTATATCAGGAATTAAAAAAACGCATTTTGAAGCTCTAAGAATCTAATGTTTAGATCTTTTGGTCAAAATTTTTAGGGCTACGGTTATCACGCAATTCTAAGAAATAGCGTGACAACAAAATTTTACAATTTTTTTTCTGTGTCCACGAAATTGGAAAAATTTTTTTCAGCTAAGCCAGATGGACCAGATAGCTTCAATTTCCTTTTTTTTTAAATTTCGATAAGAAATCGAAATATTGGACGTTTAATGGAAAAGGATCCTTTTGTCTTCAATCATCGATATCTCGGCGACAAATGGTCGTACAGAAAATTGAGGAGCAGTTTTGAAAACTGGAATAAATTTCCTACATGCCGCGGCAACTCTTTGGAATTTTTTTTTTATCTTTTACAAGAATTTTAAAAAAAGGGTAATTGATGGTTTTTTAGAAAATTGACGGCTGAATTAGAAATATTCACGAAATGACTAATGTTAAGCATGACTTACAGTTCGACATATCTAGAAGAATCCTGTGAAGTTTCATCTCGATCTAGAGAACCGTTTCTGTTTCAAACCATCAAACTTTTGAAAAAAATTAAAGTCACGTTTTTTGGGCTTAAACACTTCATAATCAAGATTAAAATGGTAAAAAAATTTCTGAGGATTTCATACATTTTTACCGCAAATAACGTTTAAATTGATGAAGTTTTTTTGTTTTTTTAGAAAACCTTCTGGAAGAAAATAAAATCCAATTGTTTCCAGCATGAATCCGTCCTATGTTTCTGTTCATCAACTTTTAATTAAGTTAAAATTGATGACCTAAACCAGATTTCGATCCTGATTCATACCTTTTTTTAGACAAATTTCTAATTCATTTTTGTGCAGTCAGTAATCACTTAAAAAACTGTTTTTTTCCTTCTCTGAAAAAAAAATGTGGACAAATTTTTGTAGCGCATGATAACCGTAGGTAGCTCTTAAAAAATTTCAACCGAAAGATCTAAAAACTAGAAACTTAGAACTTCAAAATGCTTTTTTTAATTCCCGATATGACCATTTTTCACCTAAATACAGTCTGTCAAAAATCACAGAGAAATTTCGGAAATACTTTATGCATTAGTTTATAAGATTTATAAGGAACAATTAAATCTGCATGATTCGTCTCTGGACTATTATTTTTTTTTGAATTTTAGTTTTAATCTATACAATATAAGATCACAGTGTCTAAACTTCTTGCATCTCAATGACAAGAATCTTAAAAAGTTAATACGGGTATATTAACATACATTGGGCAGTGTTTTAAATTACTATACTAAAAATTCAATAATTTATTTAGATTTAATATCAATCTAATAAGAAACAAATAGTGGAATTATAAATATTATAAATATAAAAATAATATTCAAGATTTTTAAGGCACTGGGGCACAGTTGAAGTCACATATATCCAATAATATAAAATTTCGGGGCTTATTTGTAAAAAATATGATTTATGTTAAAAGAATCGTTTCAATTTATGTTGCCGTTGCAAAATTTGAAATACTTGTCAGTAACATAAAACTTTATTCCAGTTTCCTAGCAAAAAAATTGTAAACGACTGAAATAATTCCCGAAATTTTACAGGGCGTCGAACTTCTAGGAAAGAAGAACATATCTTTATTCTAAATGCTGAGTTTTGTGTAACTGGCGTACAACAAACGAGCCGCAGCACCAAGTGGAGGCCCTGGGTGCGTGCGGCCGGTAGTTATGCGGCTGCGACGGCTGTGTTATTATTGTGGATGAAGAACGGATAAGATCCAAGCTAGATCTATGCGAACGTGCTAGTTTGTCATGCATTTGTACGTTACCGCCAGTTAGTAGTTCCACTGCTTTCACCAACCGCCAAGGATGAAACAAAGTTTACAGTTTAGGAGAAATAGTTCAGTGCTACTGCTGAGAATGGCAAAGAAAATATGCATTACTATATATTTCGTGTTTTAAGCACAATGTAAGGTTTATAAGTCAGATTTACATCTCAATTTTTCCATGAAACTCGTGAAATTGTTTAATTTTTGTTTATTTCGCTACCTTTTGCAAAAAATCACTATAGATTTAACATTAATAATTTCAAACGTTTGTATAAATAAAGTAAGGTTATGATTTTTTTTTGCTTTGTTAAAGATCTAAAATATAAAACAAGATTAATATTTTATATTTTCTCTAAAAATTTTTTAAAACATTAAAATACTGGAACATTACAATTATTTAATAATTTTTAATAACTTACTTTTCACTTCCATCACTAAAAATTCCTAACCTCGAAGCTCACGAAATAAACAGTCAATTTTTACACTCAATTTAACTATTTACGAATAAATAACGAAGCGCTTTCAAAAACTTATTTAAATATTAATGTAATATTTAATTATCAACTGAATGTTTTTACAATTTTACTATTATTTCTTTGCTTTTTTGTAGGAAAAAATTTTTACAGGTTAAGTTTAAATTTTTTTATTCACTATTTCGAATTTTGATGCGATAAATTGATAAATTGCATCAAGATTATTATTGGCCTTTTAAAAAATCTAATACCTGATTGGCTGCACTGAAATAAATAAATGAATAAAAAAAGTAAAAATGATCTAAAAAGTTTGTGTTAAATAAAGTAAGGTTATGATTTTTTGGCCTTGTTAAACACCTAAAATATAAAACATGATTGATATTTTATATTTTCTCTAAAAATTTTTTAAGACATTTTAAAATACTGGAATATTACAATTATTTAATAATTTTTAATAACTTACTTTTCACTTCCATCACTAAAAATTCCGAAACTCAAAACTTAAGAAATAAACAGTTAATTTTTATAGTCAATTTAGCTATTTACTAATAAATAACGAATCACTTTCAAAAACTTATTTAAATATTAATGTATTACTTCATTTTCTACTCAATGTTTTAACAATTTTATTATTTCTTTGCGTTTTTGCAAGAAAATACACATTTGAAATTTTTATAGGTTAGGATGCATTGAATTGCATCAATGTATTATTGGTCAGATTGGTCTTTTTAAAAAAATATAATATCTGATTGGCTCCACAGAAATAAACAAATGAATAAAAAAATATCATACCATCTAGATGTCAGAAGCCTGTAGAAGAAGCTGTGATTAATATAAAATAAATACAAATATTAAATTTACTTTAAAAAATAAATAATATAATGAAATATTATTTGTTTTTGGTTTTATGGTATTCTAAGTATTAGTTGCAATATAATTACACTTAAGAATAAAAGTTTATTTCTTTTGTATCCATGTTTATAAAAATAAACCTGAAACCACATGGATAATGTTCATTTTTCATGGGTAGGTAGTATTTTTTGTCAAAAAATTCTGGGTGTCTCAATATACAGATTTAATCAGGAAAATTTAATAGACGATAGAACTTGCAAAAATAAAAAGAAAAGTTTATAAAAACTTCATTTTCGAGATACAGGGTGTTGAAATTAATAGAAATTTGTTTTTTTTTTCAAATAACTCAAAAACTCTGCCGTGATGCGCTACAACAAATTAAAAAAAAAACTAAATTTCTCCAACAATTTCACAAGTTTCAACAGAAAGGCATTTAAAAAAGTTTTACCATTCTTAGCTCATAAAAGAACAAGTCGAAAGTCATAGTCAAAGAATGGAGGCAAAGCCTAAATAAGCCCTTATAATAGCGGCGCGCCTACCTGAATTAACAGTGCTTCTGGGCTTCGTAACTGAACAGTACGCCTCGATCACTTCGAGGATCAATCCGTCTTCTTTGTAACTCATCGGTTTACGGCTGTATCGCGAATATGGTCCGTTGGGGGTACTACCTAGAGCGAGGCAAGGGCGCAGGGGAGGAGTAGGCCTTAAGCAAATGGAAGACCACCCACGGCTATTATTGGCGTGGCCGTGCGGTGGAGGTGTGGGCGTGGAGCGGATGCTGTTCATGCCGCCCTGGCGGTTACTTGTTTGGCTTGTTGGCCCGCCTGCTACTAGTGGAGACATCTGTGGACAATAAGAATATATTTATTTAAGGCATGTACTACATTTTAATGTATTTATAAGAATGTATTTACAAAATGAAAAATTTGAGAAACACACTTTGTATCTAAATTAATACACCACCAAAACTGGACCTTAATTGCAAAGTTGATTTTTAATTATATTTTGACTGCTCAGCAATGATTCTAAGATAGCCTTTTTTTAATTTTAATTTTAAGCATATATAATAGGGATGGACGATAAACATACATTGATGTATTTTTAACGCTTCGATATATTTGATGTATTGATGTTTTTTATTCCATATATCGAATGTGTAAACCTAATTTAACTGATATTTGTTTTGTTTTTTTATTCAAATTTTAGAGATTTCCTATAGTAGGACCATATTCAATGCAAAGTAATAAATAATTGCCTGTCAAGGGATTCAGTGCAATACGGTTTTAAGGGGTTTAGAAATTGAATAATTTCTTTATGCATTATGAAGAGATTGCTTTATTCTCATAAACTATTTATTTTAAATGTAATTTATTTTAAATCCAATTTGTTTTTTAAATTCCACATATGTACTACATTTTACCTCTGTACCCGACATTGTTGTTTACTTGTTCTTTGGAGGCACTCTCTGTTTTACGACCAAGCTCGCCAGGTTAGTATTTGACGTATAACCGACCACTTCGTACACTCGATGCACCTGGGCGACTACCAGAACACAATGTGTATAATGCAGTATTTCAGATTTTACATTCAATTTCATTTTAAATTTGAAATGGTTCATCTTAGGTGTCCTAAAAATGATGAAACGATTTTCCTTTGATAAAACACCGATAATTTTTTGCTCTACTTTGCATCAAATACAATCCTACTGTAGTTTCCAATTTTCTATAGTACTTTTAAGTTTGTATATAGTTTTTCTTTACGACTAGACTAACAACAGTGGCTGACAAACTGTTTATGACATAACTGACTGAGTCCTTTTATTTACAATGATAAAAAAATACACTATTCATATATTTATAATCAACAACGAAATAGATTGCCAAGCATAGACAAAAAATTTTGGGATTTTTGAAAAATTATAATTTTCTAATTTCATTTCTAAATAACTGTTCCCGCAAATCTATGCGCATGAAGTTTTTTTTGTTTAATTCGGAATTTTTTCATTTTCTTCGGTTGATAAAGGTTTTGGACTTGACGCATCTTTCATTTTTTAGGCATTTTAAAACACTAATCATATTAAACTCTAAAAACAATCGATGTATTGAATATATCGATGTATTTTTCGACATATAATTCTAACATAGATGTTACCACACAATATATTACATCGAAAAAATGTCGATGGTTTTTCTTAATGCCCATCCCTAATATACAAGGATTAGATTTCTTTTAACAGTTATTATGTATAAGTTTTTAAAATATTTACAATAAACTGGTATGTCTTAATTCAATAGTTGTTATCTCAATTAAGAATAGAAACATGAGTCAAAGGACAAATTTAACTGTTACTACCGCACCAAAAAAATACTCTGCCGACTAAGTCCCTGACTAGTAGAGAATTATACCAGTAATATCCAATTAGGATCACCCATCAGCAGACATATACTGATTTAGAATTTATTAGTTTTTGTCAGTATGCCATAGGCGAGAAAATCAACAGATGATCCAGATATTTTTGATGTCCTAAATGCAGATAAGCAGTAAATATAAGTGAGATATAGGATAAAACAAAGTAATGGTTACTGCTAGTCAATGTTTAGACCTTCAATGACAAACTGGCAGAGAGCGATACAGTTTTACAAGTATTATTAAAAGTTTGACTGGATTGAAAGCCTAGCCGTTGTTATATCTCATTTATAGTTACAGTAATTAAGACTCCAAAAATAGCTAGATCAGTTGATTGCCTTATTAAAACAATAAGGTTAAGGTTACTTTAAAACACAACATTCTGTTTAACAAGCTTCTGATTGGTGTAACTTTTCACGACTTTTTATTGAACCAATTGGTGATCGCAAAATTTAGGGATTTTTAGTTGACAATACTAATTGTGTAATGTTGGTTGTCTAAACTCGGGGGTCATGAGGCTTATAATCATTTATGAAGGCTTCTATAGTACCTGCGAAATAGTATGTCGCTCTTCGCCAATTTGGCTGCACTGGAGGTCTAGACTCCATACCATTGAGTAGCAGTAACCACTCATAAGACTTTGTTATATCTTGTTCCCCAGATATTGATAAAGTACCCCAAACCAATCCATTTTATGTCAAACTTAGAAATATATGTTTGAATTTTTAAGAGATTTTTATGCAATTGATTAATTTTCACTTATTTTGAACAATTCAATATGCAATATCTCAATATTTCTATCTACAAGTATATCACAGCAGTTAAATTTTAATAGTTTTTTTTTGTATATAAATATCACAACCGCCATTTTGAGGTAAAGAAAATCTAGTCAATCTAAGGATTTTATATCTTAAAAAAAAAACAAATAGTTTAAAACAGAGGAGACTGTAGTTCAATTCTAAATGATATTCATTATTTTAATCGGCGCACCTTACAGAATGTTAAAAATTACGAACAAAAAGACATTTACTCTTGCAATTTCAATAAAAATTTATATTTTAGCATCGCAACTGAGAAATAATATTGTTTTGCAAGAACATCAGTTTTTTAATGGGGGCTTGTTTTTTAGTGATGTATCTATTAATTTTGATATGTAGTGTATATCCTCATTATAGTTATTCTTAGAAGAAAAACTCTTAAAAAAATTAAAGTGAATATATCAGAAAACTGTTTGGAAATAAACTGCATCATTTTGTAATAAAATAATTTTTTTCAGCAAATTTAATAAAAAATAATGACGGTTCAATAAAAATAAGATAAATTGCAGCAAATTTCTTACAGTTTTCCATACAGGATGTAACCTATTAGCATGTCTACAATAAAGGAGTGTTTCCTTGTCTAAATAAGAATATTTTGTTATATAAACATTTGTATATCGGTGCCTTCATTTTTGTGATACGGTATGTTAAAAAATTAAAAACACATTATATTTCTAAATATTTTCTGAACAAATAAAAATATATTGAAACAAAATTTTGAGTACACACAATACATGAATGAAATGACAATTCAATATTTTATTTTTCATTTTTGATCTCTATTTTGGATAGTTTTTACCATTTTGGCATAAATTAGTAACTTGTACTGATATGTTTAAATACAATTAGAATTATTTAAATAATTATAAAATCGTTTAAATAAATCTTCGTATTCAAAACAGTCCTTTCTCTCTGAGCACCCAAAATTTCGTTTCGATATGTTTATTTCTTCAGAAAATATTTAGAGATATAACTTTTTTCTTGATAAAACACATCATATTTAAAAAGCGAAGATTCAAGGTTCAAGTGTTTATATGAGAAGGTATTCTTAAAGTTTAACGAGGAATACATTTATAATTTATTTTTTAATGCCCTTGTTACATCCTGCGTAAAACACCTGAAAAAAATTGCCCAGTAGACAATTCGCGTGGAAATAATCAAGTTGTGTTACACCAAGGTTTAGTTGTGCAAGTATGACGAGTTTAGCAGTGGATGAAATGTGGGTATAGATGGCATGGTTAGACGTAGTTGTGAAAATGACAATTTATTGCAAAGTTAGATGTACAGGCAAGGGCTAAAACACACAAGCACACTGTTAGAAAATTTAGTCATCATAAAGCTAACTCGTCACAAGAAAATACTAAAATTCAATGCTCGCAACACATGCCCTTGCCTGTAGTGGGTGATCGAGAGTCCATGTATATCCCCTTAATGACACTGGCCGGAATTTTAGCTTTCAACCACCAGTGTGCGTATAATCCGGATTTATACATCAGCGGACCTTCTTCGTTCTCCGCCACTTCTCCCTCATCTTGTCCCTCTTCTAGCAAACAACTTGTGGAGTGGGACTTTTGAGGACCGCTCTTCCACTCTTCTACGTTGGGATCCGGAACAGTTTTAGGTTCTATGAATATTCTGGAATGGAGTTTGGGTTGAGATCCCCACGTTTTAGGGTTGATATCAATACTGGAAGTAACGGAAGTCCTTAAGCTATCGCGAGATCCGGTTAGTACATTTTCGTTAACACAGTCTTGGCCCGAGGTGCGCGGCGTGGAGCCAAACGGAGAGGTACAAGGGCACTGGGATTCGAAATCCCTAGCTTCGATATCACTTAAAGAGATAACGTTTGTGTCACCATCGAACTGACCAAAGTTATTGTATTTTTGGAACAGATTTGCCATGTCCGTACTACAACGTTCTTGCGCAGAACACGAGGCTAAGTCGTTAACTATATCAGGCGAGATTAAGGTGCAGCTACCAGCCATGCCGGAGTCTGACGACCTCGGACTGTGGCAAGAATCCCTGCAGCATCTGCAAAAGGACTGTCTTGAAGTCGTGGGATTTGACATTTGAAGGAATCTCGAGGTGACGCAACGTCTCATATCACTATTTTTCTTGAGATCTTGAGGGTTAATCTGAATACTACTCCTCCTTTTTGGCTTGTCTGAGTTAATACTGTGCTTACGGAATCCTACATTATCTAAATTTAAACTTACTGTTTGTGGAACGACTTTAACGTCTTCTTCCACTCTACCTTCAAACATTGTGGGAGGTTTTATGACAGTTTTCGAGGAATGCTCTGTGAAATCACTTTCTATGGATTCTGATTTTGTGAATTCTCCATCAAAATTGTACAGCAATTCAGCTACCATTCTGTCAGGGAGAGGTAATGTATTCACGGGCAATTCCAAACTACTAGAGTGAGTAGTGCTGCTGCAACTGGAATCGTTTTTGGAACTTGCAGTTTTCCTTTTCGCAATATCTTCATTAGATTTGCTTTTACCATTTGCACTGTCGCTATTCGACCACGAGGGTATATAAATAGTAGTTAAACTGCTCTGGTTAAATTTGTTGCCAACCAGTTTCGTTGGACAACTTTGCCTCGTAGTAGGCACATACCTTTCGGGCACGTGTAGAGTACCTAGTTCTACGTTTCCATCGAGGTGACTTAGATCCTCACAAGCCATATAAGGTTTAGGTTCTGGAAAACAAGAACTCGCTTCTGACTCCTCAGAGTACTGTTTCTGTAACAACAAGTTTGCGGTTGATACTAAGAGGACGCTACGTTTCTTCGGTACGTCCACCACTACTTTAGGCCCAGTCACTGTAGGGCACTGTTCACCGTGATCGATGAAGCTCTCATATTTTGTAACCTCATGCCCCGATCCCGTTTGAGGGTTATAATACCTTATGTAGCCAAACGGATTGCTAGAACTACTCGAATCGTCATCAGAAGAGGAAGTGTCTACGGCATTTTGCCTTTTGATATTGCTGCCTCTGGACTCGGCATCAGAAGTCTCATCTTCGGTGTCGCTGTCACACTCAATAACGCTATCCCGGCAGTGGATGTCTCTGGTCATTATACTAATTTCGGTCACGTGGTGTCTTATTTTCACTAAATGTAAATTACTTTTATTTAAGTGCTCGGAATACAACAATTGCTTTAATAATTGCCTATTTAACAACTTTGTTTTAATCAGTTTATGAAATAACTTTGTTAGGGCAGCGTAGGGCGCCGCGGAAGGGTAGTTTTCTGGGGGGTAAGTGGGTTTATATCGGAGATCAATGTTATAACTCAATACTGACGTTCGGTTAGAATAACCTCTTTGGTTTAGTCGTTGGAGCTGTAGAAATATAAAAATGAGTTGGTTACTTTAGTGGAATCTAATTGACAACTGCAACGTTTAATAATTGTAATTGTATATCTTGGAAATAAAGTTCAATCAATCTAATGACTAATAGAGTATTCTATCAAACAACACATAGGTCAAGCTCTAGACGGAATTTTTTATTCAACATTTCCCAAATATCAAAATTTTAAAAAACAAAGAAATGTAAGTGAAAGATATAAGAAAAAATATGTTATTGAGTGCAATTATTTATTTGTAGAATTTTCAAGATACTCATTTTATTTGATTGGGTATTTCTGCCAAACTGAGGGCATTACCACTATCTTCAATATTAAGTAATACATTTACGGAATATTTTGACAACTGTATAAATAGTTTTAACAAAAAATCTATGAATTGGTGGTGGAGTGTTGATGAAGCAATTTGGCACTATAATTCTGTTGATTTTCATAATTTTTTGGACTATACAGGCTGTTACAAATTCGAATATCGGAAACGGTAAGAGGTACAAAGTAGCTTAAAGGGGGGCAAAGTTGCGTAATCAGAAGACCAACATTATGACTCTAAAAAATCAAGGCTAACATGATTCGTTTTCGAAATATTTCAAAAAAAAAACTGAAAATTTTGAAATTCGTTTTTGATTAATTTCAGCATTATTTGAGGTGATATTGAAAAAAGAAGAACACTTTCTCATGGCAACTTTTTGCCCTCTATCGAATGGCATAATCAATGTCATGTTTCATCTCTCCAGGACCATCATCAACTTAATTTTTTTAAATATGACCCTGGAAATTTTATTACATTTTTTGCGAGCCTTCATGGCCCCCAATACTGTACTGCCTCAGCCCAAATCAGATTCAGACGTTTTGTCTCGAAAAATTCATCTTAAGTGTATTAGTTTTAAATTTATCTATATTTTTTATTTAAATGTCTTTGTTTATTGAATTATCGTACACTGTAAGTGTCGTTAGACCCTGTGAAATCCATCTAGTTATTTAAACTATTACCACCACGCGTTAAAATGAAACATTATTAGAGTTTTATTTCCGTGTCCATAGTTATTTCTAGGCTTCTCGAGTGCTCAAAATTCAAACAAATTCCAATCTAGTTTTTTCAGGATATTCATACAAATACATTTGACATGCTCTTTCACAGTTGCAGTTATAAATATAATAAATTCCCAAAATATTACGCCGTTCTTCGTTTTTAACATTTACTGAAATTTTTTAAAGAATAATATTCAGTTGGCAATTTGGTTGTTCATATGCATTTTTAAGAATTAATTTGTCATAATAAAATTAAAATTGTAATAATGTTTTAATTTTGACACAACAACTTATTGAGTTATGTATGACCAAGTGATGGTAATAGTTAATAATAATAAATGTTTTATTGTAACGCGTGGTGGTAATAGTTTAAATAACTAGATGGATTTCACAGGGTCTAACGACACTTACAGTGTACAATAATTCAATAAAAGAAATCTAAATAAAAATTTTAGAATTTGGAACGAATACACTGAAGATGAATTTTTCGAGACAAAACGACTGAATCTGGTTCGGGCTGAGGCAGTACAGTATTGGGGGCCATGAAGGCAAAAAATGTAATAAAATTTCCAGGGTCATATTTAAATAAATGAAGTTGATGATGGTCCTGGAGAGACGAAACGTTACATATAGTAGTCAATTTTTTTTAATCAGCCTACTGTATATATAGGAAGCCAACAAATACTAATGGGTATTTAAATTTCAATTAAAATCGTTCCGTAAATGTAATGAAATGTGTAGTAACTTGTTTATATGATAGAGCAAAATTAATTTAATTAAAAGATGACATGTTTAAAAATCAAATAAAATATTTATAAAAATATATTACATATTAGAAAATCAATATATAGAAAAATTTGTTGATAGAACTTTTGAAAACATTGAATTCAATAATAATTTTCGAAGGCAATAGCAAAATGTTATAATTGGTAATAGGTTTAATATTAGTTTTTTGAAACCAGGACACTAACTACAATTATATCAAAAACTCGAAAATAAGACATAAAATTCTAAGACTGCATTTACAGTGGAACTTGTGAATAAAGTAAATATTATTGGCTAAACTATGAAGCTTTTAAATGTTAGAGTCGGGGAACATCGGGACTTCGCCAGAAAGGAAAAAATTTGAAATATGGAAAATTTGCTAACAAGTGTGGCTACGGTCATGTCACTCAATAGACTAACACAAACATTTTGGGAAAAGAAAGTAATATGGTGAAAAAAATAATAATCTAAACTAAACTAAAAGATTTATTTTGTTACAACGTATAACTAATAACAAAATAAATCTTACACGGTGTTCCATTTATAATTGGATCTAAGCCAACTGGATGATCATTGACTCAAAATATGTAGATTTAATTTAAAACACTTGGATAAAATGGGCCTCCTTACTGTGATATAGAGTATTTTATTTCAAATTGCTCAAATTATTTGTTTCCATTATTTTCATACTGTTTAATATTATTTTTATCATATCTGGCAGAAAGTTTAGGTACTTTAGCAAATGTTAAACTATGGTAAATGTTTTTTTGACGAATCTTTGCAACTGTAAAGTTTTAAAATTTTTATAAAATATTAATTATTGCGGAAACCACTGTGTTTAGGTATAGATAAGGAATGAAACACAAAAAGGCACCTAAATTTTACGTAGAATAAAAAAAAATCGTAAAATATACAGGGTGTTTCAATTAAAAAAGTTATTCAGTTGTCCAATTTTATAAGCCACATTCTAGATTTTGTTATCAAATGATTTTATGGTATTTATAAAATCATACAAATTTTGTATAAAGAATTCTTTTGTGTCACACCATTTCCAGGATAAAATTCTGGAACATCCTGTATATACAGGGTGTTTGTAAATAAGTGCGATTTAGGGGGTGGTTGCTGAATTTATTTTGTGAAAAAAAGTTCATAAAAACGTAGGTTGAATTATGCTTCGTTTAGTGTTTAAATTTTATTTTTTTATTTATTTATTTTTTTAATTATTTCAGTTTTAAAGATATTGACTCGAAATTTGCAAAATGCCTTGGAGGGATAAATGTGCATTTTTGGGGTGATCCGAATATTTCAATTTGCACCAGTGGCGCTCATGTGAGATTGCCACAAACTTTTTAAATAAAAAAATGGTACGCCAATGACTTTTTCCTGTTTCGACATTTTTTTAGAAATCCACCATCACTTCTGAATGAAATTGGAAAAAGAAAAAATATTTTATTGCAAGTTGTGTATTTTTAATTTCTATTGATACATTATCTAGTAGGTTGCTGTCAATATTTCTAAATAAAATACAACCATTAAATTTCGAGTCAATATCTTTAAAACTCTTTGAAATAATTAATAAAAATAAATAAAAAATTAAAATTTAACTGTATCACGGAAACGAAGCATATTTCGATCCACATTTATATGAACTTTTTATGAAGTATCTTGCACTTATTTACAAACACCCTGTATAAATCTTCATATTTTGACCTCTAGTAAACAGGGTAAAAACAAATAAACTGTCAGATGTGATTTTATAACTAAAGCTTTGACAACAAAAACAGTTTTCCAAAATGTATACTAGCCATTATTGTGTCGCGAAGAATTATTTTCTTTCTCAATACGAGATATTTTTAGTTGGGTTAAATTACATTATAAAAACAACCCTTGAGTTATTTAAAATATTCTTGCTTTCTATCGTGGGAGAAATACCCAATCAAATATAGTCACCAAAATATTTGTTGATTTAATTGAAAATTACGTAAAATGTTGTATGATTAAATAAAAAAAAAAATGTCGGAACGGAACTATCAAATATATTACTTACATGCGGAGGGGGTTGCGGAACAAACTGCGCTTGAGATGGCGCCACTTTCTGACTAATGGTGGAAGCAGTCGAGGACCTTGGCATCTGCTTCCTCAACAGTTCCACCCAATGGTCGGCTTCTTCCCTACTCTGACACACCGCCACTCGTTTGTCGATCATAGGCGCACTTATCTCGAAAGCATTTTTGTACTGGTCGCTATCTTCAAGCCTGGTCACCGTCAGTCCTGAGAGGAACAGTTTCCCCTACATGATAAAAAAGATAACAAAACAATTTATCTAGACTTTTTTTTATGTTTGTTTTCGCATTTAAGCATTTAAATTTATGGCTGATAAAAAAACGGAGATAGCCTTATCACCTACCTCGTATATAAATGCGCTCAGCCTGTGACTAACAGATAGTATGACCAGAGTAGTGGGGAAAAGGACGAAATATCTGTCGTGGTGCTGGGGGCCCACGGCCACGGAACCCATGTATATGATCTCTCCTAGAGAGGTTAAACTAGGACCTTCCCACCCCCGTACTGGACCGGTTAGTACTTGAAGCTCTAGTTCTTTCTGCCTTCTGATCGCAGAGCATGTTGTCTAAGTAAAACGTTACAGGATGTAAAGAAGAATGTGTACGGGTTCTCTAATTAAACCTATCAAAGCCGGCATCTCCTACAATTTTGAAGGCATTGCAACAATTAAGGTGTTCGTTTCTAGATCTTTGTAAGGCTTTCTAAATAACTGATGATAAAAAAAATATGAATTATAACAAAGTGGTAGTAGTTAAAAATATATTTTCTCAAGTAAATTTTTCAACACACTGTATAGAAATTAGACTGGGCCAAAAAAATCGACAATTTTTTTTTTTTGAAAGATATGTCGAGAATATCATTCAGAATGACGAAAAAAATATATTGTGAGAGTTTGAGAACTTAATATTAGCTTTAAGAGGTCTATCATCGCTAGTTTCGATTTTTTATTCCTAATCACATTTTTGCGTCAAAACTGCCAAACCATCGAGGTAAAAAAATTTATCTACATATATTGTTGAAGGAAATTGAATGCCCTTCAAAGAAGGTCTGATCGAAAATTTTCAGCAGACGAGCTGTTTCTATGTAATCAAGCTTTGAAAATTGATGTGATTTTTCGATTTGACTTTTTAACTTTGGAATTTTGTAAATAACAAACACATTAATATCTGAAAAAGAACAATACAGATTTTCAAAGAAAATTTAATGCTCTACAAAAAAGGTCCCTTAACATTTTTGCATAAATTCACTCCTTCAAAAGTTATTCACGATTGAAGTTGAAATATAAATTAAATTTTTGTTTTTTCGTTTTGGACCCAATTTTTTTCACTCAATGGAACAAATTGATATTATACATCATGGACAAATTCATTCTCGCTCAATAGCTATTTTTTCTACAAGACAGACAGACAGAACAGAAAAACTACGTTCTTTTCTATTTCAAAATAATTTTAAAAATAACAATCATGTACTTTTACTACTGAAGATTATTTATTTATAATTAATATACATTAATGTATATTAATGAATATAATATTATAAATAAACAATCTTCAGTAGTAAAACTACATGACTGTTATTCTTAAAATTATTTTGAAACAGAAAAACTACGTTCTTGTAGAAAAATAGCTATTGAGCGAGAATTAATTTGAATATATTATCAATTTTGGATATTTTTGATGATTATATTGATAGAATGATAATTGTCGATGATGTATAATATCAATTTGTTCCATTGAGTGAAACAAATTGGGTCCAAAACGAAAAAAACAAAAATTTAATATTTACTTCAACTTCAATCGTGAATAACTTTTGAAAGGAGTAAATTTATGCAAAAATGTTAAGAGACCTTTTTTGTAGAGCATTAAATTTCCTTCAAAAATATATGTAGACAAATTTTTTTGCCTCGATGGTTTGGCAATTTTGACACAAATATGGGATCAGGAATAAAAATCGAAACTAGTGATGATAACTTCCTAAAACTAATATTACTTTCTCTCACAATATATTTTTTTTTTTCGTTATTCTGATTGATATTCTCGATATATCTTTCAAAAAGAAAATAGTCGATTTTTTTGGTCCAGTCTAATAAAAATCCTTTATGCCATTGAATACACCATGAAAAGGAATTTAACTTGACATGAGCCTTTAGTAACTATATGAGGTGTTTAAAATTGGAGTCGATTGTATCAGTAAGTATTAGAGAGCGATAGAGATAATTAAATCGAGCAAAAATATGTAATTTAACGTATTAATTTTCAAAAGCAATATTGAAAACATCGGTTTTACTTTTTTAAATATTTTTAATAAAGTATATTTTACTGTTTAGTGGGGTAAGGGCACCAAATCATTTTTTTAATTGCATAATATCATGGTCTTTTTATTTAAGAATAATAACCATTTATTGACTTCATTTTTATTATTACATATGTGTATATGTATTATATTATGAAATATCGCTGTTTAGAGTCAAAATTATAGAAGATGCAGATATAGCGAACTGAATCGGTGAGTTCAAAAACCGTACATATACAAAAACTTCATTTTGAGATATACAGACATGTACGGTTCTCAGCGTTGCCAGGTTTAAGTCTCAGGATATCTGGGAAACAAATTGTTTTCCAAAAAAGTGATGTCTAAAAATCTACTTAATAAAAACCCTGGAGAAAATAATTGATGCTCAAAAACAGAGCGGGAAAAGCGGGACTGAGCCTGTCCCGTGCGGGACATTTTATTTTGGGTTAAAAATCGGGACATCCCGCCAAAATCGGGACGTCTGGCAACGCTGACGGTTCACCACCTCATTGGTCAGTAACGACCTACTAAATACCGTTAATAGTTAAGTATCTTATATGGTTTTCATGCTCACTCAGTGAAGGAACATATTTTATACAATATGGCTGTCTTTATTTAAAATGTCCAATGTTGGACTTTGGACGGTTTTCGAACTCACCGATTCAAGTGATAGATCATGTATGCTTAAATATTATTTAAGAGATTCTAATAAAAAAGATATATTACTGAAATATTACTACAGAGCTTTCATAAATGTTTATAAGCCACACGACCGTTGAGTTTACTGTCAACTAAAACCCCCTAGATCTTGGCGTCACCAATATTAATGATTCGTTTACAATGAACAATGACAAACCGTTACGTCTACACTCCAAATAATGCGATCGTTGATTGGTTGAATAGAACCTCATGAAAAACTTCACCAATCACCAGCCGGTGAAAAAGAATGTCATGTTTGAATGTAATCTCGATTTCACTGTTTTAATTTTATTTACAAAAATTAAATTGCCAATATGAAGGAAATAAAATTACTGGTTAAGTGGCTTGTAATCATTTATGAAAGCTCTGTACTAAAAGAAGCTGTGTAGTTTAGTTCTACTCACTGCGATATCTTTATAAACACTGACAGATCTTTGCGTATCGCCCCTATCGGGATGGCATTCTTCCACGTGTCTCTCTAACTCCTGTAGCATTCCCGAATACTTATCTAGCCTTCTGAAGGGCTTACTTAACATCGTTGTTAATACCAGAGCACCGGGACTAGCTGCACCTTTCGATTCCATGTATTTCGTAAGTTCCTCCCTAGAACAAAGCGATAGTTTCTAAATATTTTAATTTCCCATTTTATCTTTATTTCTTTTATGCCTATCCAACATATGGATGCTCCAGCATAGGAAAATTTGAGGAAAGTCAATTTAGAACTAAAAACAGGACCAAAAATGTTTGTTTTTTTAACATGGAAATATTAAAAAAAATCATTTAGTGACAAAACCACTAATTTGTAAAATGTTAAAATGATTACAAAGCACCTTTCCACTTTTGAACTCGGAGGAAATAGAGATTTTCAAGGCTTAAACTAATACTGTCAATTTGAGTGATAAAAAAAAATTACAAGTTGCTAAAATTTGTTAAATGTGATGTTCCCGAAGTCAATAATTGTGGCGTTTTAGAAATTATTTTTTTTTAAGCATTGTAATTTAAAAAAAATCCTACTTGGATCCATTATACTCTCCTTTTTTTAAGAATTCATTTATTTATTTACCTATATTTGTCCAGAATGCACACTGCCCTGGGATGGAGAGAGCAGTACATTTGATGAACGTTTTTGATTTTTGGTGCCCAAGTAAGGAACAGCTTGCCGACCCGCTGTTCATTTCCTGGTTTGTTCGATTCTGCTTCGATTAAACTCAAAAGTTGTTGATGCGTTTCCAACACATCCGTTATGTTTCCAGTCAGTTGTTTATATTCATCTTGCGATAATCTAAAAATAAGTTATGACAAGAAAAATAAATAAAAATCATGTACGTGAGAGTTTAAAATAAAACTTACATGGAACTCTTCTCCAAAGGTTGCAGAAAATTGGAGACCAGACCTTCTAATTCAGTCACGTGTGCTTTTTCAGAGTCGATTAAATCATTTAGGACGACGCTTTTGTACTGGTTTTGTGGATTCACGACTGGCTTAGGGGCGTCTGCAATTCATTAAATATTTACATACTTATACCAATGAAATATATGAAGAGTGGAAATCGTGACCCAATTCACTAACCTTTACATTCCTTCACATAATTACTAGGGAACCAGCCTGTTTTTCCATTGAGGGTACCCTCCCACCACCCCTCATCTTTCTGGGTTACAGTTATTAGATCCCCCTTCTTAAAACACAGCTGAAAACACAACACTTGTAAAAATGTGAAAAAATAAATATTTAAAGAAACATTAAAATAAAGATTTAGAGAATAACTAAAACAAGGATTTCATACTATCATAATCTTAGACCACTTCTATTATTACTAACTATATTTTTTATAAAGTAAACTTAAGCAAGAATTGACTTGAATATTCTAAAAGTGTTTGCAGATTTATATAGGAACATAACAAAAAATGCTGTTGACAAAAAGAACATTTTTTAGATTCAAAAATGTACTCGTTTAGTTTTTGTGAAAAAAGTGTACCTAATTATTATCAATTCCCTGCAAAATACAACAGCAACTGCTAAAATTAAATCAACTGTGAAAATGCAAACATGTTTACAAGAACTCAAATTATAAACATTCATTTTCAAGAACTATAAAATTGATGCAAACGTTTGTTTTCACACTATAGAAAAACATTTCTAAATACCTATTTTTGTAAATTAAATTACAATGTCACTGATTTTTAGCTAGATTGTGCGATTTAACTATTTATCTTACCATTGAAGCTATAAAAGTGGTTTAGTAGGCATAAATTTTGCAATAAACTTAATTTTGTTTACAGATTATCATGTTATTGCTTTTACGATAATGAAATAAAAATATAATAGCATTGGAATTGAAGTTAGTTTTTATCTGGAATTTTAAATTAATCTAAATGATTTGTATCAAGATTTTAAGTCATTAAAACGATATTCAGCTAGAATCAAAGGAACTCTTGAGATATAGATATATTTTACATTTTAAATGTAATCTATACGTATTCTACAAAGTTCATGTTAAATGACAAACAAATTACATACATTTCTTTTAAAGTGAAAATTCAAACTTTTATTTTAAGTACCTAGAACAGCAAATTACAATTTAACATTGAAAAAGGTATACACGTACTTTCACTACATTTATCCCTAAAGTATAAAAAGTTAGATAAAAATTTATCAGTGATCTCAAAACTTTACTAGATTAAAAAAGTATTAAGACCAGTCCATTATTGACTTACCTCATCATTATTGCTTCCCTTAAATGAATAAATAGCCTGAACTATGGACGGTTCATTAGCCATGATAGTTCCATTAAAGCCTATAAAAACAAAGAATTGCTAAACTATTCACCACAATTATAATCAGTAGAGCACCATCAGATTTACTTTAAAAAACCATTGTAACACTTATTGAGAAAAGATGCTCAGCCCGAAATTATGACCATGATTTGGTTGAAAAATAATTTTTGAGTACTGTCACATTCTTGGCAAAGTTAGTTATACTTTGCTTTCGTTTAAAATTGGATCAAAGCCAAAAATATAACGCATTAAGTTTTCTTGAATTAATATAGCTCAACCACATTCTTACGAATTATTTCTTTTCATTTCCGTTTAACACCTACCAGCAGTTTTCAATCACTGGAGAAAAACTCTTTTTATGAGATTTTACAAGATAAAGTTATTTATAGATTAGTTTATAGTTGGAATAAAAATGTATTCCATTATTACTTACAAAATTGCCCTTGGCACAAATATTTCAGCAAAATCTATTAATAATTAATATGTTATGAATTCACTAATAATTATATAAACAAAAGCATTTTGAATACCTACCCTACAACATTAAAATATAATTTTTTTTGTGTAGTCATCAAGCTGTTGAAAATTCATTACGAGTTGATTCTCACCTTATATGTTCAGAACACTTTTTGCACAAAAAACTGACTTGGATTAAACTGAAAAATTAGTAAATATTTTTATAAAGAATGTCAAAAACTTAATGACGATTGACGGCTCTTAAACCTCAAACATTTTCCTTCCTTCCTCCACTTAGCAGGATTCCAAAACTCAAATCAAATAGTTACTGTCGATAGTATAATTTTCTGCCTGAATTTTGAAGCTGGTTCTACACTCACGAAGTCAAGCTAGGCGAAAAATGCAGTGTAGAGTGAACCTAGCCAAAAGAATATGCTTCTTTACACTTACGTCATGATTACATAATACACCGAACAGAGGGTATCATCATGTGAACCTACGAACAGGCGCAAAAACTATCAAAACTCATGTTCTTAACTTTTCGCAGGTTCTTCTCGACAAATTATACTGCGTGTGATGTTACTTGTTAATAAATTTGTACGATCAAACGAACTTAACTGTGAAGTTCGATCGTAATTATACTAGGCGCCTCGCCCGAAGAGATCACTTTGATTGAACTATGTAGTACCGCTTTAGGTGCTAGTTGATCACACATTTTATAGAAAGGAACGCTACTATTGCCGTTCCGTTCTGTATTACTAATACTCCGTGCTGTAACTATCTTCATTACATTTTAAAGTTGCAAGAGTGGATATGAAACATTTTCAAATTGGGTTGGGATACTTACTCCTTTATATCTTATTCTTAAAGAATTTTTGTTTAGTGGGATTACTTATTATTTTGTAAAGGGAGGGAGTGATCTCTTCGGGCGAGGCGCCTAGTATAATTACGATCGAACTTCACAGTTAAGTTCGTTTGATCGTACAATTATACGACGGCGCCTCGCCCTCAAGATCACTTTGATTGAACTATGTAGAAGTTTAAAGACTTAGAAATGTTACATATCCATCCTGTTGTTTTCAATAAATTACTGCCATCAGTGTAACACATTTATTATGACCATGCACAAGAACTCTTCGTGTATGATTTTACAATATTAAACATGTATGAATGTATTCACAATTCAGTTGCTAAAACAGATTTTGCAAAATTGTTGTCTTCTACAACGGGACGGTTGTAGAATTTTGCAAAGACTTTTGAGGTTTTTGTCCAGCCTGCTGTTTTCCTAATAACATCCCAAGATACACCATTTCTAGCGGCTGCCGAGGTAGAGGCATGCCGTGTGGAATACGCTGAAAAAATCTGCGTATTTATTCCCGCTGCGTTTAACGTTTGTTTAATCCATCTGCTAATTGTCTTTTGATGCCCTCTTGTATGGATCCTTTGCTGTAATGAATAAATAGTCTTCTGATTGTGGTCTCCACTCTGACGTTTTTTCTAAATAGGATATGAGTGTTGAAACAACACATAAATTAGGTTTTCCAGTGAAATAAGGTACTTTAAAAAAGGGCTGCGGAGCATTATTCTTCGAGTTCTTTACCTGGTCAGTTATATATATGCATACTCCTTCGCCATCAAATATAATATTATCCACTTTTATAAGGTATAGTGTTTGTATTCTATGGCCTGTGGCCAGAGCCAATAGTGTAGCTAGTTTCTTTGTTAATATCAAAGTAGGTAATGTCTCGTCTGGTCCTAGTGAATCGATATAATTAATGACTATTTGGGGATTCCAGGTGGTATTATATCTTGGTTTTGTTGGTCTAAGCCGATAAACTCCTTTTAAAAATCTTCTTATTAAAATGTCTTTTCCAATTTCTCCAGGAAATATTAGAGAAAGCGCTGATCTGTGTTGATTAAGCTTGCCGTACGAAGTGTTCCCTTTTTCAAATTCTTTCTGCATAAACCTCAATATTTCTGATATATCTACCACGAGTGGATTTTTATTGTTTTCTAAACAGTAACTCCACCAAGATTTATATGACGTATTATATTGTTTATGAGTGGATTCTGAAATGGAGTTCAATGTAACATCCACTGTTTCTGCAGGATATCCCTTTTTTAAGAGTGCTTGCCGCACAAACTCCCTGCTACCAGGGTAAGCTTGGCATGAAGAGGATGGTTCATTCTAAAAGGAGAAGATAACAAATTAATGTCAGGCCCTAATACCACTGGTTCGCTAATTAATAATTTTTTGAATAACGGGTACCAAGGTTGCGAAGGCCAGTCAGGTACAACAACAATGCCTTCTGCTTCATCAGTGATGATTTTTTGCAACGTTCTGAGGATAAGTGTAAAAGGTGGAAAGGCATAAAAGAAATTTGATTTCCAAGAAACAGTGAAAGCATCAACTGCTATAGAATCTGGATCTTTGTACCACGAAATATAATTGTTGCATTTTGCATTTATCTTTGTTGCAAATAAGTCTATGTCTGGACACCCCAGTTTTTTGACAATATATTTNTACGTATAAAAATTCATATTCCACACCTGTGGAATATGAAACTCATATTCCACGGGTGTGTAATATGAGTTACATTATGTACTTACTATCACAATTATAATGCGTCTATTATTAAATAGTCGTAGATAAAGAATATTATCATTTTTATATTGTAGTCAATTCAAATGTATTTGAAATACATATTCACTGATTTGATATTACGATTTATTCAAAACTTACAATGCAAACTTTTTAAATGTAGGCTTACCTATTTAAAAAAATATAGTCTAGGAGTGTCGACTAAATATCAAGAATAAACAAAATTGAACATATTATATGTTCTGGCTGCTGAAAGAAAATCAGAAGTACCTAGCTAACCTTAAACTTATTGTCACATAACTATTGCCGAAACAAATGAAACGCTTAGGAAAACCATAAACCATAGCTTAGCTGTTAGTAATTAAGGTAAACCTCACAACGAACGAGAGTGTGGTTTGTTTCATGGAGCATTTTCCGTTATTAAATATTGATGTTTTTAATTCTTTTATAATTATTGAATTTTTATTTTTAAAATGAAGCCTGGCTGCAAATCATTAGTTTGGGATTTTATGTTAAAAAAAGATAAGTAAAAAGTTTAAATTATTTGACAATACAACAAATCTTAAAAAACATTCAATTTTGGCCTCTAAAGCACATCCGCCTAGTGTCTAGTCCATCTACCTGCCTGTCCTGAGAGATACTCGAAATCTCATCATAAATTCTCAAGTATTCGAATGCCGGCATAAAAGTTCTCGAGTACAGCGAAAACTTTTATGAATCGAATGGATATCGATTCTTGCATTCGAATTCTCCCATCACTAGTATATACCTATTTTGTGATTTCATACATCGTTATTGCCCACTGTATATCCCATAAAGTGCTTATACACCGATCGCATTTGCGGTCGGGGTAGACGACGGATGGGGCCCACCTACGAAGACTGTCCAGGCCTACACGAGATGAGGCAGGATAAAGAGGGATAATCCCCCTCGATCCCAAATCATTGAGGCCAATTTCCAGCCATGGAATAATGGCGCTTGTATAAGTAAATAATATTTGAAACATGCTTAAATCGAATGCCGATTTCTATTTGCAGAACCAGCATTTTTTCTAGTGATGGGCATAATCGACTAATTTTGATAATCGAGTTATCGGTACGCAATCAGTGACTATTTGCAGTATGCACTAACATTTTGGGGTGCAACCGTAGGTTAATAATCACTGGAGTGGTGAGAGTAAACATCTCGAGATATCTCGAGTGATCTCAATAATCGAGTACCACTCGATTTTTCACTCGAAATCTCCCATCACTAATTTTTTCTTTATAATATAGCACGATAAAGAAGTGATTGTGTATATTACATTGAAGATACTTCCTACGTTTAGAAAGTTATGAAGATTAGAAACAACAAAATCTATTTTAAATTATTCAAAATCAGTTGCTCTAGCTTCTAATCCCAAATTTCTTTGATTGTGTAAAACATTCATTACAATTTCTTCATGAATGTATTGTCAAAAATTTCTTTATATAAAATGGGCCACAAAACTAGGAAATCTATACTATCTATACGTGATTGGTCACAGTGGTACTAATGGCATTAGTTTTCAGGGTTGTCAGTGTTGTCGCATCACGTTCACATACTTCTAAACTTCTGTTCAGTTCTGTATAGAAGTATATGGTCACATTTCAGTTCTTCTGTTTTTCTATGGTTTCAGTGTCAGTGACATGGAGTCTCCCTGGTCAGTGACCTCAGNAAAGGAGGTCCCACAAAGCGCCTACACCGGCCGCATTTGCGGTCGGGGTAGACGACGGATGGGGCCCACCTACGAAGGCTGTCCAGGCCTACACGAGATGAGGCAGGATAAAGAGGGATAATCCCCCTCGATCCCAAATCATTGAGGCCAATATCTAGCCATGGAATAATGGCGCGCGCCCACTGTATAAGTAAATAATATTTGAAACATGCTTAAATCGAATGCCGATTTCTATTTGCAGAACCAACATTTTTTCTTTATAATATAGCACAATAAAGAAGTAGTTGTGTATATTACATTGAAGATACTTCCTATGTTTAGAAAGTTATGAAGATTAGAAACAACAAAATCTATTTTAAATTATTCAAAATCAGTTGCTCTAGCTTCTAATCCCAAATTTCTTTGATTGTGTAAAACATTCATTACAATTTCTTCATGAATGTATTGTCAAAAATTTCTTTATATAAAATGGGCCACAAAACTAGGAAATCTATACTATCTATACGTGATTGGTCACAGTGGTACTAATGGCATTAGTTTTCAGGGTTGTCAGTGTTGTCGCGTCACGTTCACATACATCTATACTTCTGTTCAGTTCTGTATAGAAGTATATGGTCACATTTCAGTTCTTCTGTTTTTCTATGGTTTCAGTGTCAGTGACATGGAGTCTCCCTGGTCAGTGACCTCAGTTTTCATTTTGTGGTTACTTTATTTATTTTTTAAATAACAGTTTAATAACGCAAAATGACAGCCCCTATGGAGCGCATTCAAGTTTTGGATTCGATAGAAAAGGATATAATAACATGCTTACATAGCGCAGGTAATAATAATTAATTCTAAAAAGAAATACCATAACTAACCCCACTTTCCATCAGGGCAAGTATTCGTTGAACTCAGCAAGGAAAAATCCAGTTTAAAGCAGGCCGAAAATCATACACAAATGTTCCTGAAAACATTATCAGCTGTCGAAAATAAATTAACTGACCAAATCAATTATCTGACTCAAGTATCGACTGGACAACCCCACGAGGGATCAGGTTATGCCTCTCAAAAGGTGTTGCAAATGGCTTGGCACCGATTAGAACATGCTAGATCTAGAGTTAACGAATTAGACAGGATTAAAGTGAAACACCTTCAAGGAAGGACGGCGCAAAGGAGTTTGCCCAGTCAAGCTGGTGGTGGACAAATGCAAGTTTCAACTATACCTCCAGGATCTGCGACGTGATCTTTTTCTAATTTTTTATTATGGATAGCAGATTAACAGTGAAATATACTCTTATGTCGTTAGTTATACAAGTGAGAAGTGAATAATGTGTGTGTTGCTCCATGAGAACAAAAAAAATTTTAAAAATATAGTGAAGTTTGTTTATTATGTTCCGTTTTTGCTTAACCATTGTACTAGATTTTCACATACTTTTATTTTCACATTACTGTTGTGTTTTATATTACAAGAGTTGCTGTGATGAAAAATACTTATATAATTATGAGGATTATTGTAATGGACTCATTTGCAAAAAAAATGGAATTGTTTAATAATGATGTTTTAGGAATATAGATCTGTGTGCTACATAGATTTGACAGTATAGTATGTACAAAATATAGAGAAAGAGAGTAGGCGCCAAGGTGTAAAATGCACATGCGATTTCTCATATTTATTACATGATATTAAGTGTTATTGCATATTTTGCATATAGATTTGACAATATATTTTTTAATTGTTGTGTTACTACCAAAAAAAGAGTAAATTTCTTAATCAGAAATAGTTTATTTTAAAATCAATATGATTTATATCTTAGGTTACGTGACTTAGGGCAAATTGCTGCCGTTTTTGCTGTTCATATTGGAACAGCTACAAAACACATAAAGTCGGCTTTGACTCCATCCATAGTATACTGTCAAATTTATGGTATGCTATGAACACTTGGTCTACCTGTCCACAAGCGTGTGATGCTGTTTATAATAAATAAATTTAGATTCGAATAGAAAATATATGGATTTTAGACAACTGTGGTTGTTATAACCTACCACTTATAGACTTAAGAATGTCTCCTTTGAATAATATAATAAAGGATTTTAGTATTATTTACATATAATTCAATAAAGGAACAAAAACAAACTCTTACATTTATATAAATAGTAAGTAAATGATATGAATCAAAGGATTAGGAAATATTTACAGAAATTCATTTTGAAGATACAAACCAAACTTGTATTTTGTTAAATAGGATTATAGTATTCTAGGTTTTTCTGATAGTAATAAGGATATCGCCAAAAGATTGAGCTGTAAGTTCAATGCAGTAGAAATTGTTGTTAATTGTTAGGACACTAAATCTTTTGGCTATATTTCTGTTACTATTAGAGATTTATCTATGAAACCCTACATTAATGTAATCCTGATAAAGCTTTTTAACCAAATACGTAAAAATGTACACCGATCTAATTCTAATAATATTGACTTGAAATCGCATGAAAATTTTCAAATATTTTGGTCCTGCCATTTTTTTTTTAGAAAGAAAGTAAAAGAGNTATTTACATATAATTCAATAAAGGAACAAAAACAAACTCTTACATTTATATAAATAGTAAAAGGTAAAGATAATGAAGCTTACCAGCAATTAGGCCATGCTTGGCCCTTTTTGCCTGCTAACTTACACTACCCTCCACCTTAACAATCACAAACATCCATGGTACGACAGGAAAATTCGAAAGAATTTTCCTGCCGCGTGCGGGATTCGAACCCACTACGGTTTTGCCGCACAGCCCTGGCTCGCCTCTGTAGGCAAGCCTTGGCCGCTTCGGCTACCGCCGCGCCCCTATATAAATAGTAAGTAAATGATATGAATCAAAGGATTAGGAAATATTTACAGAAATTCATTTTGAAGATACAAACCAAACTTGTATTTTGTTAAATAGGATTATAGTATTCTAGGTTTTTCTGATAGTAATAAGGATATCGCCAAAAGATTGAGCTGTAAGTTCAATGCAGTAGAAATTGTTGTTAATTGTTAGGACACTAAATCTTTTGGCTATATTTCTGTTACTATTAGAGATTTATCTATGAAACCCTACATTAATGTAATCCTGATAAAGCTTTTTAACCAAATACGTAAAAATGTACACCGATCTAATTCTAATAATATTGACTTGAAATCGCATGAAAATTTTCAAATATTTTGGTCCTGCCATTTTTTTTTTAGAAAGAAAGTAAAAGAGAAAAAAGAGAATTTTACATGAATATTTCTGTACATGTGTAAACAATTTTAAATGCAATTTCAGTGGTCGTTATCATAAGAATTATTTTTGTTTTATTTACCTTGTCGCAATTTTAATCATATTTGTGTTAAAAAAACATAATTTATTAGTAAAACACACAGAAATTTGAGTAATCCTTTATTAACAAAACTGGCACATTTAGAGATCTTCATTCCCAAAATTGTAAGCAACCAAACAACATACATTTATTTAAAAAATATATATAAAAACTTTTTTACAGAATATAATATATACACAAAAGAGTCCTAAAAAATTACTTATGACCAATTTTTTTACAATATAAACATAAGGTACAGGCTTAGGATTAAATGTACTTTTACTTTATGAGTGAATAATTGTACCATACAGGTTCAGTCAAATGCAGTTATTAAAAATGTAAACGTGTAATGATATTAAAGTACAGAAAGGAAAACATCAAATGAGAAAGAAAATATATAGGTATATGAAATTAAAATCATGAAAAACAAAAAATTTAAATATATTTCTCAGGATTCTAAAAATATATGTCTAGGCACAGAACATATAACTATATCAAAGTGTTTTAAAAACATGAAATAGTAACCAATTTTTCCGCAGAAGATATACGTATTTCCGCAAAATATATTATCACCTCCAAAGGGAATTAAAAACAATTTTTTCAGAATAAATGGACATCAAATTACATGTATTTATTTAATTGTTTGGTAACTTTAATTGTTTTGTTTCTGTTTCCACAATTCAACTTCTCTACGAATCCTAGTTACATCAATTGCATAAGTCCTGCAACAACCTCCCACCCATGTTACTCCTAAGTCCAGCCATTTGTGTACATACGTTTCCACTGGTTCGCACTTGTCTCTATTTATCCATCTGAAAAAAGAAAATGTTTCAATATATTTATTTGAAGATGATGATGAAAATCTAGTAAATCTAGTAACAAAGTTAACACTAAACTCTAGTTTTACTTCTTACCCCATTTCCACATTGTAGCTTTCCCCGCTGTTGGGGTAAACTACAAGGGGTATCGGTCTATCTTTCCTGTTTTTGTTGATCTCTGATATAAGGGGTTCTATAAGTCGTGGGGCTGTGCAGTTTACTCCTACACCGACCAGTTTGTCCGGATGCAGATCGTAACAGTGCCTTGCCACTTCCTGGAAATTTTCTCCGAAAGCAGTCGTTTTGCCATCAGTCTGTTAATAATAAAGAAAAATGATAAAGAAATACCAGTTCAAGAAATGTTTTACTATTTTAATCAGCTAGATCACATCCGCTTTGTAATACATGGCTGCTACGATTGAGCAAACGATTTTATTTTGTGAAGTATCCTGCAAAGATCGAAAATATACATTTTTTGATTAATCATAATATTTCATTAATTTTAAAAATCCTATAACAAAAACAGCATTTCCAGACGCATATGCTTATAGAATTTTTTTTTGTAGCGTAGGATCTGTGATTAAATCTTTATCAAGCATTTTAATTACACTAATTATTACTAATTACAATTAATTACACACTGTATAACATCAATATTGATCGTACCCTGGACAAGAATTGTAGTTTTAAGAAAAAAAAATTATATCAAAATTTCAAGTAATTTGGGTAAAATTTTAAAAAATTCTTAAATATAAAAAGTTCCAGTATATTTTCAAAAACGCAATATTTGTCTTGTTTTTATATCTCAAAAGCCCAAAGAACTATCAGCTGCTGGTGCTATTAATAATTATACACTGAGCTCGTAAAGTTTGGAATAAATTCGAAAAATCGTTACTGAAGGGTTTTGACAGGAAATGCTCGGACACGTCAACTTTAGTTTATAAAATGTCACTTTTTTTAGCAATCGACTTTTTTTTTGTTTTGTTTGTTTTTGATCTATGACGTCATCGGCAATTTTTTTAAATGGCAACCCATATTTTTTTCCACGGATTTCGATAGAGCACATTTTTCTGAGTACGAATATGTCAAAAACGCATGACCTTCAAGATGGAAGTTTTCGAGATATTCGGTTCCAAAGTTTCAAGAATGCATTATACAAGCGATGACAAAATACTAATCATTTATCAAGGAAGCGCTGGAAAAATTACAGTTTTGATAGTTGAAGTTTGTTCTCGCAAGTTTGTGTTTTAAACTGTCTATTATCTCGAAAACTTCCATCTTGAAGGTCGTACGTTTTTGACATAATATTCATGCTCCGTAACTGATCATAAAAATTTCGATTCTTTCCCTTTCACTCAAACGACGGACCATTTTCAAATAAAATGAATTCTGATAGAATAATGATTAATCAACTTAAAATAAAACACAAACTTGCGAGGACAAACTTCAACTATCAAAACTGTAATTTTTCCAGCGGTTCCTTGATAAATGATTAGTATTTTGTCATCGCTTGTATAATGTATTCTTGAAACTTTGGAACCGAATATCTCGAAAACTTCCATCTTGAAGGTCATACGTTTCTGACATATTCGTACTCAGAAAAATGTGCTCTATCGAAATCCGTGGAAAAAAATATGGGCTGCCATTTAAAAAAATTGCCGATGACGTCATACATCAAAAACAAACGAAACAAAATAAAAGTCGATGGCTGAAAAAAGTGACATTTTATAAACTAAAGTTGACGTGTCCGAGGATTTCCTGTTAAAACCCTTCAATAACGATTTTTCGAATTTATTCCAAACTTTACGAGCTCTGTGTATATATAGTCCAGACGGTATCTGGTTCAAAAATCCATATTTGGGTGAATCGTATATCCACGAAGATTTTTGGCTTTATGGCTTTCAAATATCACTAGAAATGAAAATTTTTCATTGCGCATAAAAAAACCGTGGGCTTAACTTTTTGCGGCACAATATGTTAAAAAAATTCGAAAAATGTATTTTTCTTCCTATTTAATTATGTATCTTTTCAAGAATTGATTTTAGGCGAAAATGGAAGAGGAAAAAAATGTTTGCAATTAAATTTTTTACAAAATATGTCTAGTTACAAATCAAATGAATTATGATTATTATGGTTAAAATCGAAAAAATCGCAAAAATGGGGTTAAAAACAATACTTTTTAGGGATTTTTTTTTGGGGTATTTAAATTGGATATAGGACCTCTATACTTGCCTCAAAAAAGCTTCATGTTATGTAGAATTATCACACCAAATTTCATCAAAATCGGTTCTATAGATTTTGCATAATAATTTTGCAATGCAGATTTTGGAAAAAAAATTGCAAATTTTCAAAATTTTGCACAGCAAAAACCAAGGCCCTTAGATACTTGAAAATTTAATCACATATAGAAGGGCTCTCAAGCTTTCAAACTTTTTTTGAAAAATTCGCATCCGTCAATTAGGAGAGCTCTGGCGCCTGTTTAAACATTGGTCAATTTTTGTACTTATAAACAATTAGAACTTTGTGAATATTCAATCAAATAAAATTTTTTGAAGAAGGTTTTCAAAGTACTTGGAAAGACGCTTCTTTAAAAAAAAACAGATCGATTGATCAATTAGCGGCCGCGCTCTCTGCTTTCCCCACCATTACCACCCGTACGATTTTATTGAATTTCTCGTTTGCATAAATAACTTTAAACACGTTTTAAAGTAGGTTATCAATGAAGAAAAGTATTGTAATCTTAGACCTGCTAAGTACTCGGAATATCAAAGGTATTTTTCGAAAAATTAGCCCGGATGTCCCAGTACAGTCAGTGTAAATGACGGCTATAACTACGTAATTAATTCATCAATCGATCTGTTTTTTTTTTAAGAAGCATCTTTCGAAGAACTTTTAAAACCTGCTTTAAAAAATTTGATTTGATTGAATATTCACAAAGTTCTAATTGTTTATAAGTACAAAAATTCGACCAATGTTTAAACAAGCGCCAGAGCTCTCCTAATTGACGCATTCGGATTTTTCAAAAAAAGTTTGATAGCTTGAGAGCCCTTCTATATGTGATTAAATTTTCAAGTATCTAAGGGCCTTGGTTTTTGCTGTGCAAAATTTTAAAAATTTGCATTTTTTTTTCAAAATCTGGATTGCAAAATTATTATGCAATATCTATCGAACAGATTTTGCTGAAATTTGGTGTGATAATTCTACATAACATGAAGTATTTTTGAGCCAAGTATAAAGGTCCTATACCCAATTTAAATACCCCAAAAAAATCCCTAAAAAGTATTGTTTTTTTACCCCATTTTAACGATTTTTTCGATTTTTAACATAATAATCATGATTCATTCGATTTGTAACTAGTCATATTTTGTAATATGTAATTAGAAACATTTTTTCCTCTTCCATTTTCGCCTAAAATCAACTCTTGAAAAGATACATAATTAAATAGGAAGAAAAATATGACATTTTTAGAATTTTTTTAACATACTGTGCTGCCAAAAGTTAAGCCCACGTTTTTTTTATGCGCATAGAAAAATGTTCATTTCTAGTGATATTTGAAAGCCAAAAAGCCAAAAATCTCCATGGATATACGATTCACCCAAACTAAAACAGATACCGCCTAGTCTAATATATTGTTATACACTGTTTCTATTTTTGATCAGAGGTAGTATAAAAACAATAAAAATGATGAAAGGTATTACTGAAAGGTAAAGGATATGCACTTAAAGTACTAAAACATTTAAAACGGGAAACAAATTCCGAACCTGTTATTGTATAATTAAAAAGATACCTAACACTTAAAACAAATATAATTTGTAAGTTAATTATTTATATCTAGAAACAAGGCAGACCAATTTATTTTGCCGTCATGATTAAGCAAGCGTCCTTTTACTTACTTGCGTGTGTGAAAATAACTTGGCGCCAAAAACAACGTTAATTTTTTTATAAAATAGCAATTTCTCGCTGACTGTTTACTTGTTTCTAATTCGTATCGGGTTTGCGCACGTTTCAAAACAGGAAGTGCTATGTGTTTTATTTATATGAATAACATAATGCCGGACTGGCGACAAATTTCTACATCGCATTTCAATTGTTGTTAATTAAAAATTAAATTAGAAATTAAAATTAAATTAAAGAATGAATTATTGCAAGAGAGCTATTTCTTTTTTATTAGAAGTATAAAAAAAGAGAATCATCTGTCAACAGTGTGTTTTACTTTTTTTTGTTAAATGTCGGAAACGAAGAAAATTGTAGATTTTTCTAACTGATAAGTATCACAAAAACGATGCATTTTTGAAAAATGTCCATATGAAAAACTGTATTTATTTTCAAAAGTAGGTAGGTACTGTGACACTGTATAGGTACCCTAGTTTCTAGATTAATGAAATAACTTCAGAAAATTATTGATTTGGTTATTTTAGACCACACAACTTTTTCAACCCAGTATTTAAAACTATTGTTTTCAAGATACAGTTTAAAAAAATTTCACGTTTTTTCAAAAGTTCAAAAGATCGTTCCCAAAACAAAATTAAAATTTCTAAGCTTATGACTTTTGGACCCTAATTGATGGTTGCAATATATTAAAAACTGTATTTTAAGCAAATAACAAAGTGTACAAAGCAAGCATATTTGAACATTAGGTACTGAATTAGTTTTTAATAAACTCTAAAAACCTTTTCGCCGGTGGTTGTTTTTAACTAATAGTCTTTAGATTAAACAAGTTCATGGTAAATTTAAAAATTAAATGCCGAGTATAAATAAAAATCGCTTTTCTATTTTTAATACACCTGCCCACGCGTACTCTTGAAAATAATAAAGGGCACACTCCTCTCGCGATTAGAGGAAGCTCGATCCGGTACCTGCGCTCGAGTGTGAGCCCAGCACGCGTTTAAAAACACAGTGCCTCCGGGAATTGATACAACTTTAACAAACCAATTATCCCGGTAAGTACTTACACCGACGCTGAATGTTAACCACGCTCTGGTATTCGGGAATTGCTCCTTTAATAAAGTCACTAAAGTTTCAGCCTCCACTTTGCATGGAATCGTTTCCAGAGCTAATAAATCCACACCTGCTTCCACCAGGGCCCTTATCCTGGGTATGTGCCACTCTCTTATGGTGGTGACTGAGGTAGTTTTGGCGTAGGAGCCCGTGTACTCCGACCCGTCGTGCAGCGAGGCGCCGTACGGGCCCACTGACCCCACTATTAGTGGTTTACCTGGAAGCAAAATAAGAATTACCTGCACGAAATAGAGGTTTTGTGGAAAGTTTTATTGGATTTCTTAATCATTACATTTTTATAGATTTTAAGATACTCATTTGAATTGCAACCCCAATTTTGTTCTGGAAACGCTGTTAGGTATTTTTACTCCTTCTCTTGCATTGAGCAAGTAGGAAAATATAATCATCGTATTTCCAATCTCAATTCTCAACACCACCACGATGAGATATACTCGTGGTGTGATAATAGTATGGTGTCCTATGTACTGCGGTGACGTTACTTGAGTGCAAGACTAACGAAATCATGGCATATATTGGCATGCAACTTTTTATCATTTTTCTAATAATCTAGAGATGTTGCAACCTAAACGTTTTCACATCATTGGTTTTGTTTATGCAAAACAGGAAACGTTTCCTCAAACTTCAAACTTGACATAGCGTTTACGGTTACATTCAGGTTCAGACTCTACATCATCTAAACTGACTTCTTAAACATGATTCATACCATTATGTAAATATGGAAATTACAGGTTTCAACATAAATTGTCTGTTTATATATAATTTATAGCAACCGTGGTGGCGTGGTGTCAATGTACAAATTTGATCTTTATGTTGGTCTTAAGTGACGTCATACGTAGATAGGACAAAATTGAGCCAGATTACGAGTACACATAGTATTTTCACATCACAGATATACCCATAACACAGAATGGGTATTCCTTACTGTCACAATAATGCTTAATGTTTGCGCCTTTCTTGTCTCTCGACGCCATGTTTATGACGCCAAATTTAGATTTGAATACAAAATTCTTCATTAAAACTTGTCATATGCACCTTTAGATATATTAGGTAATTCGCTTGCTATAGATTATTCACAAAAATATATCAGTACGTGCACTAATTACTCGAATTCTAATGTTATCTTTCTTCAATTTGCTTTTGATAGCTACAAAGCTAGGGAACAAAGTTGTTGTATTTAGATCTAAATCTTGGGCTTCTTCAAACTAGATTTTATACGCACAAGAATATTATTCGTAAATGCATTCATGAAAAATTTCGCAGCGTTTTTAAAATTTTAAAAGAGCACCTCAAAATCTATAGAAACGATGAAAATAACAAGTTTCAACAATGGGAAATTTATTATAAAATGGGAGAATCATTTGTATCAATTAACACTGGTTATAAGTATAGGCTGTAATATACCCAATGCAATTAAGCTCATAGACCAGTTAATCTTTATAATTAATTACTTGTATAGGTCTTCATCTAAAATGGCTTAATTTTGGTATAAGCGATACTTACTCCTTTGTTAATAAATAATAATCAAAATTTCTTTTGCAAATGTCAAGACATAAATAAGCTAAAATCGATAGGTACACTTAATTTCCACAATAGCAAAAAACACATTTTTCTAATGCAAGTAAATACAACACCCTACTAAACAAAATCAGTAGGAATATGGAAAGTTACATTCCACACCTGATGTAGGTGTATAAATTTTTTGTGATCTTGAGACGGTTGCCATTTTCTTCTGTGAAGGAAATAATATAAAACACAGATCAGTAATATATAAGATATAAAAATTGTTTGGTATACAGTTGCTCTATATGGTGACCGCTAAATGGCGTTTTGACATATCAGATTTGACATTTGATTGATTTGACAATTCTGTGGCTTTTAGTATTTTATCCACGACTATTGTATAATGTACCCATTATACGTCTGTTTGCTCGACCTTAATAATACCCATTAATCACGGCAGTGATTAATGAGTCATTAATCACTACTGTCAGATCCTTCCTTAATTTAGCTATAATATTATATTGTTCTGCTACAAACAATCCGTTTTTAAAATTTTATCGTGTAAACCACTAAATATTTTCAATTCTATGCTGTACATATAAAAAAAAAATTAAAAAAGTGAATTTTCCTAGACCGGATTCGAACCCGGGACCCGCGGTTGGAAGTGAACGAGCATCTACACTGAGCCATCAGCGACTTCATTTGTGCGAGTCGTATATCTGTTTCTTAACATACCATGTTTTTCGAAACATTTCAAAAAAAACTTCAACAAAAATATTTAGTAGTCGTGGATAAATTATAGTATTCTACTCCCGTATAATGGATATTATTCACGAGGTGAAGTTTACGGCCTAAATCACCGAGTCATCATCATTATACGCTCGTTGAATAATATACTATTATTGAACTTTGAGAAAAACATAAATAGAGTGCAAGCATTATTTGAACATAGAATGTTGAGTAAATATCATAAATATAATTCCAAAAAAGCTTCACATTCATATAAAAATTTTCCGAAAAATATTTAAGATGTTAAAAAGTGTAAATGTCAATTTTGACTCTCCGTTAAATGGCAACATAATTCAAAAAGCTGTGACATCATTACCGCCTTGGTCCTTTATAAAACTACTGTACACAAAGCACAGTGTGTGTATTTTATGCCACTGTAGTTTGACTTGTGAATTGCGAATACACATGGAGGTTAAGTATATCTGTTAAATTAACCCAAAACTTGACTTTTAAATTTCATTTGAGATCTTGATGAACGATTTACATTTAGGTACATTTACTGTTTTCGTCAAGTTTCATTTTAATAAGTATAAGTATGACATCCAACTGCGCAACTAATAACCTTCGCAGAAAATATGGCCATGTGCATTTAAAATTGGATTTTTGGTTATGAACTTATTTTGATACATGAACCTTACTAATTATTAGCTATTGCATAACTAAGAAAGCGTTAACAACCTTAGAAATTATTAAATGGCACTTAAGTAGTTGAAAAATAAAGCAAATTCTTATGGAGTAGGACAGTAAAGAAAAGTATCTACTAAGGGAATACTTACGTGCTCCTGGGAACTCTTCCTCATAGCGCTTTACAGCAGTCCTGGCAAGATCGACAGATTGTTTGATGAGGTCGTAGCTTTGTTCTTCAGTTAGTTTGAGGTGTTTTACGAACAAATCTTCACTGGCTTGGTACGTGTTGGTCATAATCAGGTCAGCTCCAGCTAAAAAGTATCAAAAAATGAATCTTGGTAACCATTATATGTAGCAACAATAAGAATTTTAAGTTATCATAATTATGTAACTCGTAAAAGCACATAGAGTATACATGAAACAATACCAGTTTACAAAACAATCTCTTTCGATTACATATTCTATTGCTTCTTTCTCAGTTCCTAGCGGGCAGCCGACTAGAGCACACGTGTTTTGTGAAAGTGTAGTGCAAGGAGCAAATTCTACCTGCCTTTATTAAGGCTACCTGGAAAGAATCCCTTTCTTTCCTTTTAATCACCGACCTAATCCCCGGCTTAAGCATAGACGCCGTCGGCATCTTTGTTACAGCACCTGTGCCGGGGTTATGCCCAGGTAAGTTTTTACTTATTTATCAGTTATTTTCATTACTTTAGAATACATTTCTTTAAAATTGCGACCCCCGACAAACAATATACCAGACAGACAAATACACCAAAAGACACGTACGCCCCCGTGAGGGGGCATCCCCACACGACTAACACTTACACACCTTCCC